AATTTGTTCTGTTGTCACTGATTCCTGCTTATATATTTACGGTGGTCTTCCTTTCATTTCTTGTGATTTCACTTCTCTTTTTTTCGAAGTTCTTCTCACTAGTTTGTTGGTCTGCACTGTAGCATTATCTGTCTTACTGTGACTACACTCTCTGATGAAACGTCTGCCTTCAGACTGAGAAACAAGGTGCCTTTGATTCAAGGACCTTTGAGGCCATGTTCAAATGCTCGCCGCCCGGTGTGAGGCTTTGGCACTGGGACTTCCTTTCTCCTTGCTCCGTTGGGCCCAGGATTTCCCTCTGGACACCTGGTCTGGGCTCTGGTTCAGCATCATGGGGATTTCTTTCTTAGTCACTTCTCAAAGCCATAGCATATCCATGAATGACGCTAATTTCATTTCACCTGACAAGTTGCCTTTCTCAGTGGTTCGTGTTTTATATTTCTGTGTATGTGTCTGGCTGAGTTTTGAATCGCTTAGGACATATTCTGGTTACTACTTAACCATCTGCTGAGAGCAAGGACAGGTCCCGCGCCAGAGTCCCCACAGCTGCCCGCTCGAGCACCAGTACCGTAGTGGTGCCTACCAGCCACCAAAGGTGGCGGCCTGGTGTGTGTGTCTGTCCTCCAGGAGCCTTGAGTCCTGGGACAGAGGACACTGCTGGGCACCTGGCAGCCGCTCAGTGGATGCTCGTGAGATGCAGTGAGTGTGGTCGCGCACTTCTTGGGCAGGCCGGGGCAGGAGGCCCCTTGGAGCAGGGGACCCCTGGCTGGGCAGGGCCCACACAGATGTGGGAGCCGCCCCACCAAGGCAGTTGCACTCCAAGAACCGTGTTGCAGGCCCCCACCCCAGCTCCACTCCCCCTCGTCCGGTAGTGACTCGGAGGTCTCCCAGAAGTTGAGCCCTGACGCGGCTGCCTCACTCTGCCCTCACGATCCAGTGCCGAGCTTAGACCTACAGCCGGGGTCTGCCTCCTGGAAGCTGTCAGGTGGCCGGAGCCTGTGGGCCGGGCGCTGCTCCTTGACTCCCCTTGCAGACATGCTCCTCGACCTCAGCGACCTGCTCCAGGTAGATGCGTTTCCTTTCTCAGCCCTTTCCTGCCCCGGCTGGGAGGGTCCACAGGCGAAGGACACACAGGGTGTGGGTCTCTGTTTGGAAACTGGCAAATGGAGTTGGTAGGGAGACAGTGGACACAGGGTGATGGTGTTGTCCCGGGGGCTGGGCAGCCCTGGCCTTAGAGCCAATGGAGAGACCCAGGTGAACTTTGTCCAAGGCAAGGGAGATTCTTTAAAAGAAAAAAGCAAATGGACTCACATGCATACATTTTAAACAATATAAAAACTTACATTTACAGTCTATTTAGGGAAACTTGCTTTCTGAGTCCCCGGAAGGCACCTCTCATTTCCAAGTGCCTGACGGTAATGGAAAGACCCAACAGGAGGGACACCTGTGTGGATGGAATGCTCACGGGGTGGGAGCAGCGCCGGGGCGGAGCCACTGCAACTCCGCACTTGTCCCTGGTGGTGGCGCTGGGGCTGGGGCGAGCTTGGCCCCGTGCCCTGGAGTTGGGCTCTGTGGTGATCACTCCACTGAGGGCTCGGAAGGGAAACTAATGTCATGGAAAGCAGACGTGACTGCAGTGTGAGGCCTCATGCAGAATTCATAGGAATCCCACCCCCACGGGGAAGCTTCCTCGCAAGCCTGGTGCTATGCTGCCCTGGTGCTGGGCCTTCAGTGCCCTCGGTGCCGGCAGACAGACCTTCACTGAACTCAGATGCCACCTGTATTTGTGTTCTCCCAGGTGCCTTTATAAATGGCATCTCTCAGGAGCCCTGCTGGAATATTCAGGGGTCACGCTAAACATAATCCCTTGGAATCATGAAAACACAGCACTCCATGTGCTGTGTTTGGTCAGGGCAAGGCCACGTGGCCTGGTTTCCATCCTGGTGACTCCCAGGAAGGACAGGAGTGAGGGCTGGCACAGGACAGCGCTCCAGAAGTGCTTGGGCACCACTTGGGAGGGAGAGGGAGATGCTCCAGTACTTTCTTGCTTCACACCTTGGGAAGTGGGACACCACTCAGGGTTCAGGTGGGAGAGGGTGACAGAGTAGATGCACCCACTCACCTGGGGCTGGATCAGGGCCCAGCGGAGAGTCACTGTGCTGACCAGTGAGACCCCGTACGTTCAGGCTGGACCCACACAGACAGTTTTAACACCTCAGGTGGAAGGGTGAGCCTCGGGCCCCCTGGTCTTGGGCAGAGCCCAGCCTGGGCACTGGGAAGGTGGGAGGTGACCTGGCAACCGTCACCCCCCAGCCCCCCGCTCCCAGCCTCCCACGCTGGCCCCGCCCTGGAGGGGCTGGGACAGGCTCAGCACTCACAGGACACACGTGTCTGCAGCTGATTGTGGGTGTGGAGCACGCGTGTCGGGTGAGGGTCCCACTCGGAGGCTTGCACGGCCGAGGGCTGAGCGCTTAGAGGACGTGAGCTGAAGGCTCAGGGCTCACTCTGTTCTCACTCACACGTGCACCAAGGTGGGCTTCTCCCTGGGTTCAGCTCACAGCCAACACCCTCTGGCAGGAGCTGTGGAGGGCCCGCTGCACCCTGAGGGTCTTGGCAGGACATCCCTTTGTCCCCCCTTATAGTGAGGCTGACACATAGGCACTCACGTGCCTGGGCCCCGGACCCTCAGAGGCAGAGCCAGGAGCCCTCAAGGTCTGCGGAGCCTGCCTGCCATGTGGTAGGGGCACAGGGAGGGCTGGCCACCCACACACAGCCGCAGCCACGGGAGAGTGACCATCAAAGCACCTCTGGCAATAACCATGCATTTTACAGGCACATCCTTTTTAAAACTTGATTTTCCGCTTGAAAAGTTGTTCAGAGAACGCTTTCCTGCAGCATTCAGGCTTCATCTGCCTACGTCCCGGGGCAGGAGAGGGTGCCCCCGTGAGCCCCTGGGAACAGGGTAGAAGAGTGGCCGTGGGCCCCGCAGTCGCGGCGCCTCGCGCGCTCGATGATTCCGCTCGGCCAGCTACTCTCGAGGCAGCTTTTCTGCTCAGCAAGTTCAGTCGTTGCTGAGATAGCGGTAGAGTCTAAAAAAGCCACCTGGGAGAGGGAAGGAGTGCCTTGGGCTGCTCTGGGGGCTCGTGGGGGGCAGCAGGGGGGACTCTTACAGACTGAACGATGGAAAAAAAAGGGAAACATTGCCTGCACACGAACGCCCTTCTTAGTTGTGGTGTCTTCACGACAGGTGAACGTTTACGTGCTGGGGAAGACGTTCCTTCTTTTGGCGAGAGAGCTCTGCATCAACGCACCAGCAATAGGTACTGTGGGGCTCACGGGGCGCGCTGCTGGTGCTCTGGGTGGGAGGGCGGCGCGTGCAAGGGCAAGGACCTCACAGGGAAAAAGTGTCTCGCCTGGAGGCTGCCAGGAGCCCAGCAGCCTGGGGGGTTATTTCTGGTCTAAAACCAGAATGCTGTGGTCAGTGCCCGCAGGTAGGGATGAAGTGAGACCAAAGTGCTGCATGGATGGGGGCCCGTCTCTCCACCTCTCGAGGAGCACCCCTGGCAGCACGGTGCCTCGGGGTGGGCAGGCCCCCTGCAGACGGAGCTGGGCCTTTCCCAGCCACGGTCGGTCGGCCTTTGTGGCAGCTTTACCGTGAGGGCTGTTTGCACGGCTGGCTTGGAGGGGCCGCTCCCTCCTTCGCCCATCAGCGTCTAGAGGCACCTCCTTGTACTAAGGAGGTGGTGTGTGGGGCCAGGGAGGGTGGGCAGGGCGTGCAGTCGGGATCACCCACAGGGTGGTCCCCTGGGGCCGGGAAGG